CTGACGTTTGGGATTTGTCCATAGTTTTGATAAAGGATTTTTTTTCAGAGAAATCTGAGATGACCTGGAACCTCCTCCATGTGGTTCTGGTTCCACAGAGCTGCAGGACTTTATGTTGCAGAGGAACATGAACCTCAGTGAAGAAAGAAGTTTAACAAGGAACTCAACCAGAAGTGATGAAGCGTTCAGAGGTTAAAGTGTCTGAGAGCATCCTGAATGTTCTACCTAACCTACAAACTGCTGAAGCCCCACAGTGATGTTCTTCTGTCAGATATTTTGGATGAACTGGAGACCTGAGAACTTCTGTTTTGGTTCTCAGCAGAACCTGTGAAGCCATTTAAGGTCCACTACCTCCAGGACAGGACAGTGACTGAAGCTTGACTTTTAGATGAGCAGAAAGTTCCTCTAAATGGAAACCAGAACCTCATCTGGTCCAGCTTCACCACATCAAGTTCTACTGATGTTAGAGCCTCAACAGAACCATGAATCCATCCATGGATAGACACTGACAGGAACTTTCTGTCGGTCCTGATGGATCCGTTCAGTGGTTCTGATGGAACTGTTCTGTCTGAGTCTCCACACTTCATGTTGGACTCTTACTTCTGGAGGTTCTGAACCTGAAAGTGGACTCTCAGGTGAGTTTGACAATAAAGACATTCTCAGAAACCAAAATATCTGACAGAACTCAGTTCTGGGTCGGTTGTTTGTGTCACCTGTGACTCCGCCGTCTGACGCGAGCGTCCAAGAAAAGCAACACACACCTGAGTGCCAGCAGCGCCAGCCAATCACAGCCCACCGCGCTGCTTCTCTTCCTGCAGACGGACTCAAGGAGGATGTTTCCTTTCAACAGTCAGCAGGTGATCCAGACTCACCTGAGCTCAGGACACGCCCACACCTGCTTCCTGCGCAGCATCACATCCCACAGCGGCGAGGGGAGCAGTGTGGCATCAGCAGGAGGCGGCAGGTGGAGGAGGAAGCTCAGGTGGGCGGGGCTTCAACAGGTGAGCAAACAGGTGAGGTGGGCGGGGTTTGTCTCAGATGTAGAACTGGTGAGCAGCCAGGTTGTCCATGAACGGCTGAACCAGGAAGTCGGTGGAGAAGTAGAAGACGAGGCCGAAGGTGATGGAGATGGGCAGCGCCGGCAGAGCTTTCTTAAAGATGGCCAACAGCAGCAGCGTCAGGCACAGACCCTGGGACAGGTGAGACACAGGTGAGACACAGGTGAGACACGGGGGAGACACGGGGGAGACACAGGTGAGACACAGGTGAGACACGAGGGAGACACGGGTGAGACACAGGGGAGATACGGGGGAGACACAGGTGAGACACGAGGGAGACACAGGTGAGACACGGGGGAGATAGGGGTGAGACACGGGGGAGACACGGGGAGACACGGGGGAGATATGGGGGAGACACAGGTGAGACACGAGGGAGACACGGGGGAGACACGGGTGAGACACAGGGGAGATACGGGGGAGAAACAGGTGAGACACGTGGGAGATACGGGGAGACACAGGTGAGACACGGGGGAGACATGGGGGGAGACACAGGTGAGACACGGGGGAGACATGGGGGGACATAGGGGTGAAACACGGGTGAGACACGGGTGAGACACGGGGAGACACGGGGGAGACACAGGTGAGACACGGGGGAGACACAGGTGAGACACGGGGAGATAGGGGTGAGACACGGGGGAGACACGGGGGAGATACAGGGGAGACACAGGTGAGACACGGGGGAGACACAGGTGAGACA